TATATATATATATATATTTGTTGGAATAGTTATAAGTAAATATACAAAGACCATTAATGTAATTTAAATATCATTTTTTTATTGAATAAATATTTACTGTAAGTACTAAGTACTTTATTCAAAGAAATATGTATTCAGATTTAATAAATTTTTTCAGTGTAGATATCGAATTCGCGCAGTGAGCTATAGCTTTGCTGAATCATCCAATCTATTTTTTTTTGTCTACGTGTAGTCGCGTGACGTTATTTAGTTCAACACTCAATTCAACGAGCTATTTTTCTTAAACCTCCAGAGCTGACGCTAAAATCTGTAACACAGTTACTGATCTCCAGAGTTGACGCTGAGTCTGTAAGATTCATTTAATTTATGTTAATTAATTTTGCTGGTCTGTACAAATTTACTGTATGATCATATCGTTTGGGTCAATATAATTAACCCTAATTGGTATTCGCAAGTCTATATGAACCCAGACATTTTCTTCAATTACGTTGTAAAGAATTGTTTATAACAAGTATTTTTCACAATTTTACATAATTTTAAGTTAAATAATCTTTTTCCTCAGATTTTAACCTTTAAAATGAGCACAAATCATTCAATTACATTCTCTTGAGCAAAAATACATTTAAAGTAACTAGACTCGCAAATATTAGTAAAGAAAATTGAATTGTTTGATACTTGTGACAAAGACACTTATAATTGAATGAGCCATTCAATAAATTTACAGGTAGTTCCGGAGAATTAGTATTCTTTAAGAGAAAAAGATATAGTGAAATAGAATAAATTAGGAGATAGGTAATCAACCATGAAATATTTGCGAATTGTTTTTTTTAATGATATCTTTCTATAAGGAATTATACAATAAAGAATGAATTAGGATGAATAATCTACAGAGTTCTATAACTAGATTGCTGACTTCGCTTCATCTTTTAAAGCAGCGTCATGTTTAAGTTTACATACTCTCACATATATAAATCACATTAACAATCACCTACAACCTGTAATACAATCAGATCACGTGTACTCATGGACAGGACGCATATATGTGCATGCATGGATCAAACAAGGGACTATATTCATAGTCAATTTTTATATGTATTTAAGATCGTCTTAAGTACAGTCTTAAAATGTCATAAATCAATTAGAGAGCCGTATTAGCATCTTAAGACATTATTTAAGACAGTCTATGAATATCGCTCAAAGGACAGTTCGAAATAAGATTTATTTCTTTTTATCATATTGATAGAAACTTATTTCTATCAGCAGTCCAGGGCTGGCAAAATACATCATAAAAATATTTGAAATACAAAATACAAAATATTGTCAATCTTAATATTTGAATTACAAAAATACTTTCAATCTTTTGATTTGAAATAGAAAATACTTCTTTGAAATACAAAATACCTTTTTGATCTCTTGATTACGATGATATATATAATGTTAAACTTCTTTAACGAAGCTAAGCGCTACAACATTGCGCGGAAATTTTATTCACTTGCATTAGAGTTTCTAGAACGGACAGTAACTTTTAATTTTTTTAAAACATTTACTCTTTAACGTGTATACTTTCGACGAGGCAAAATATATTATTAAAATATTTGAAATATAAAATACAAAACACTTTTATGTGTGCTGAAATACAAAATACAAACCGGATTTCAAAATACTACACGCAAAAAAATATTTTGCTTATTCAGTTAGAATTATAACTGTTTTCTGTATCTGATAGAAAATTATCATTATATTATGTAGTGTAGAATCTATAGCACAAATCTAAATTCTGTCTCTGTTATCTATGTTATATATGATTAGATGCAATACATATCAAATTTCGCAGTATTTGCTAGAAATTTATCTATTTTAGCTATTTTTCATTCTTAGATAATTTTCGTTGTAACTGCAAGATCATTTTTTTGAGTGTATATTTCAAATACAAGTATTTGAAATGTATTCAGCCCTGCAGCAGTCTAAGTACAGAAGTCTGTGGAATAACCTTCTTTTTATAATCGTGAAAATTATTATTCCGTAAAAAATAACTAGATTTATGATTTATTTGTCTTGTTTACATGTAAATTTTGATAAAAATCGCGACTGCGTTCAGTGAAGACAGAATCAGCCATTAAAATATAGTGACGATATATGGTTTAGGATAAATTGGGAGATAGGTAATCAGTCATACAATATTTGCGAATGATTTTTATTGATATCTTTTTACAATGGAAGTGCGATAAATTAAAATGAATAATTTCCTTCTCTTTAGTGTGAAATTACAATTATTTTATGAAAAAATGACTAGGTTCAAAATTTATTTATATTTGTTTTACATTTTATTAGAGAAGAGTTTTAAATTTTATTAGAGAATCGTAACTGCGTTCAATGAAAATCGACCTGGTCAACCAATCAATGTGAGTGAATCATTTTTCAGTGAATTTAATGATACATGATAAGACGTCAAATAGTTGGAAAATTTCAAATTCTTTTTCTTGTCAAAAATGCATCCATTATATTCAATTATATCTATAATTATAATAATCTATAATCGATATAACAAGATAATCTTCTTCCTTCTAATTTAAATTGAGTTACTCGTCGTTAGTCCAATAAAAGATGATGTTAAAATAATTCGGAAGGAATCGATCGCGACTTAAACTTAACTACTCATCCACGTAAAATTCTAACAGTAACGCTAACTTTACATTTCCTTTCCAGCAAGATTGTGGCGTGATACTGGCATTAGGCTACGTACAATTTCTCGTAACCGTATCCTCGTGTCGGAGTATGCTTCGCCGTCAGTATACGGATCGGAGACCGAAGTCCGCTGCGGGCGTAGCGTGAAGGGGATGATTCCGAGCGTGTGCCGAGGGTGGCCGGTCTGCGCCGAGCACCATCGAGCGTGTCCGAAGTCGGTCGAATCGCGGTACCGAGGGAACTTAGCGCGCAGCTCGAAGAACCCTGGTTTAGTCTATCTCCAGGCGCTAGACGCGACGAGTGCCGAGAGGGGTTGCAGCGCAGAGGGTTGCGCGCGTGGTTGTACGTCGTCTCCTGGTCCTCCTCCGCGTAGACGCACACTCACACGCATAGACACGTACACGCGGTACACACGTTCTTTTCAACCCTTCCCTTACCTTCCGCACTTGTCCGACTTCGTGCCTCCCTTATGTTTATACCGATTCGGAAGCCGAACAGGTGAATACATTGCCTTCCTCTCCCTACGATGAAACGGGAGTGGTAGATCTTTCTTATCTTACCGTTACCTATCTATCTATCCTGTCTACTTACCTGCCTACGTATCCTCTGATCTCTCGCGAAATTTTCCAAGGAACTCGATGACAATGACACCGGCGGGGATGAATGGAAAACCGCGGAAGAGACAGTTTGCCAGACATCGGCCGTGCACAAATCGGTCGGCCCACCACGTGGATCGCGGTCTCGTGCTCTCGTCGCTGGCACCATTCACGCTCATCTTCATCCTCGTGCTTGGTAAGTAGCTTCTTGATTTTACGCCACTAGAGAATTCGAGCAAGCATCAAACTTTATGCTTTTGATATTACGATGGTGAACTCATTAACGGAAAAGTAAGCGAGATTGTAAGAATTCTAAGGGGAAAATTTTATGATTTATTGCAAATAATTCCGTTTCAAATCTCTCGTTTCTTCAGATACAAGTGAAACCGATGTCTGACTTTTTCACATTTCTGATATAAAAGTACATCTCTTGCGTGTTTTTTAGACTTCTGACAAAGTGATTGAAAAAGTAGGAAAATTGATTTATAGAAGTGAATTTTCCGTTCCACGAAGACTAAAGATCGGTTGTTCTATCTTCAGATAAACTATATGGTAATTTTGTTTTACATCTATTAAATAAACAAAAGAATAAAAGAGTAAAAGAGTAAGAGAAGAAGGTAGTGAGCTGAAATTTACCGAAAGGTGGCGCAAAGCCTAAATATAAGAACTAAATCCAGTTTTATTATTATCTGTATAACATTCTTAAAAATAAGGATTATGCTTTATTATCATGTTAAGTAAACTGGAATTACTACTAAGCTTTATGTTAATCATTTGTGAATATAACAAAATGTGTTGGTTCGATGACTCAAGTAAGGGATAGTGTCAAAATTACGAAGATTCGTAATTCATAACACGTTTTGTGAGATATATACAATTTTAATAAGACACATGGGACAGAGATCAGTCCCACACGTTTCGTAGCCATATTGCCTATAGAATTTTCAGCTTTGCAATTTATCAGCTTTGTAACGCGCGTGCCGTAACAATCGCTTGCCGTAAACGCGAAAAAAATAAATGTATTTTATCCAAAACAATATTCGCAAAGTTTATTTTATATTGTTACGATGTCGCATTTTTTTTTTATTCTATAACCATCATTTGCACGGTTCTCGTTTTTTTGGCATCACAACTACGGCATGCGTTAACCTACTATCGGATACGGTTTCTAAAAACATATAGAAAAATCGATGCAGTAGAATGCGATGCGTCCGCGGAAAATTCAATTCTGCCAGAAATATCTTGCTGTACGAAACCAGATATTGATCTTACGGAGCGGAAGATAGCCACCGGTGATAGCGATCGTGTAAACTGAGTCGCAATGTCGTTTAACAAAGTGGGGACAACAATATTCGCGCTCGGGGATAATCGCGCACCGCAATGTAACGTGAGAATCGCGAACCGCGGGTCGTCGAGATCGGCGGGGAGGATACCGCAACAAAATCCATTTCCGCCATTCCCTCGTCGCCATTGAAACTCTATGTTGTTGGGATTGCAAAGCCAGAATAGTGTCTTATTACGCGCATCATTGAGCACGAAGTCGATCCGTGAACATTCAATGTGTTTAATAAAAACCGAGAGGAAAATACTAACAAGTAAATCTACCTCTATGCTATTATTGTTTTCCAAATTGTTTTTAAGATTGAAAATTTACAACAAAGTTGATATTACATTTGATAATGACGCTTCTTATAGGTATTTAACGCGAAACGTTGTTGCTATGTTAATCGCGTTGTTATGCTAATTGTCTTGCTTTTTCCATGATGCAAGAATAATTTACATCGATTCGATTAGCAAGTTAGCAGGTAGAGAGGAAGGAGGGAGGGAGGGAGGGGGGAGAGAGAGAGAGAGCAAAGAGCACTTCTGTAATGCATCGTCTATAGAGAGTAGTGTCTAACAGCGTTAATCGGTCAAGTGCCGCTGGTTGTCGAGTAATAATTGGCAGACGCGAATAATCAATTATGTTAGCGCGAATGAAGTATACTCAATAATTTTATGCTTTTATTATTGTTAACGTAAAAATATTTTAGATTGATCGATTGCGCAATTTTTGTCGATATCAATTTTTCCAACGGAGAATAGGCGAGAAAATTTTATTATTTCTTGGAATGTAGGGAGAGAGAGAGAGAGAGAGAGATAGGCGAGACAGGTACCGTATAGCGCATATAGGTATCGTATTTCGCGCAGAACGCTGTATGAGAAAATTTATGCCGTGTTAAATTTATATATTATATACATAACACATACATCCTGGAAGCGCTTCTTGTCGAGTTATACGTTCCATCTGTGAGTTACATATCACGAATTTTCGAAATTCCATGCAATGATCAGTTTTCGCGAAATATTTCCTTGCATTCTACAATAGAAATATGAAAGATCGACAGCTTAAAGTATTCAGGCTTAAAAATGAAACTTCATAACTTAATGTATATAATATTTTAATGTATATAATATTGGATGAAAAAGAAAGAAAGATATTTGGATAAAAAAAAAATCTAGGAAGTAATGATGAATCCTCCGGATTGGAATTTTGTCGAAATTTTAGTTGTCATTCCTTTGATTCGCCTCCCTTTTTTTATTTATTGAATATTTCGTATATTATCTATAATAAAAAGCTTAAAAGAAGATCGTCCAAATGTGAAAGTATTTATACAAAATGAAGTATTTGAAAATTTATTATAGTTAGATAGCATATAGTATACTAAAATATACTAAATATAAAATATTCTAAATTTTAATAATTTGTTTATATAAAAAAAAAGATATATATATATATATATATATATATATGATATCAAACCAACCATTAATTTAATTTAACAACTATTTTTTATTCAGTAAATATTATTACCATAAGTAAATGTTTAATAATTAACACTATTCAAATAAATATTAATTAAAATTTAATACATCTTTTCTTAATATCGTGTAATATTAAGTATAACATTTTAGCAACCAGTTTAAACGTCCTACATAATTATTTTAATGATTCAAATAAAATTACTTTCAGACCCAGCTAAATTTTTAGATACTTTAATAAAACCAATGTACTTATAATATTATACATAACTTGGCATATATAATATTTTAGATGAAAAAAAGTATTGGTAAAAGTTGAGAACGCAATAAGGAGTGAATCTCTCGAACTGGAATTTTATCGAAAATTCCCCTTTGATCTGTCCCTTCTTGATATACTGGTTTATCTTGATCGGGAGCACGCTGTCGCATAAATCAGAGTGTTTATTCAGTAGCCACGTAGAGAGTCTGGTGGAGAATGTGAGATAGTGGAGAGCGTGCTCCTTGCTAATAATCTACGACGTACCGCTTTTCTGACCTATACTTGATAAATATTGCAGAGGTACACTTTTGCCATCTCTCTCTTTCTCTCTTTTGAGATAACTGAGCGAAAAGTCTAGGGGTCGGATCCCGGAGGTTTAGCTTTTTAAACTCAACTTGAACATTACTCAGAATTATCCGACGTTTCGCTAAGGGAGAAGGGGTAAATAATGGGATTTCGATATTTGAGAAACCTTGGCGAAAATGGCCGTTCTCTTCCTCGTAACGAGCAGATACATAGCTTTACCTCAAACTATATCAAAGTGGCGCGCCACAAAGATCTTTTTGAAGAAGCGGATTCCCTGGGCGAAGTTTAATCCGTCAATCCGTGAATAAGCTCAAGAGCCGCGTTTAGTTTCTTGGCGAAACTTTTACGTAACGTACATTAAATTAGCTGCCGCGCGGATAAGATTATAAGCTATATCGACACAAAGAGGTGGCACCCAATACATCCTTTCCTTCCCATCACGTCACTGGCCAAGAAAGATAATTCGACACAATGTTTAATTACGGATCGTAATTAATGGTGCACCTACGAGTAGTAGTTCGCGAACGTCCGGTCACTATCCATTCAACCACTGAGTAATCCTTCGGACCACAATGGATCTACGACACGGAATGCGCCAAACCGTCGCCTACACGGGTCAATTTATCGCTTCCCTCGGACTGCAGAACAAGACGTGCCTTTCGGGATGCCGTAAATGTTTGCACGTAACGGCGGGCAATGATTTTAAACTCTGAGTCGCTGTGTTATGGCATTTGAAAATTTATAGTAGACTGAAAAATAGCGCAAAAATTCCTTTATTGACTGGACAAATGGTATTTTTTATTTAATTTTATTAAATCCATTCATACGATCATTGACAATAATTAAAAAAAAAAAAGAAAAACACGCAATTGAATTCATGATAATATTAATAATAATTTTATTGAAATGCGAAAAATAGCAAATAAATAAGAAGAACATTTATAATGGGTGGTCTTTAAAAAGTGAAGCATTAGTACTATTGTTCACGAGGCCAAATATTAATGCAACATTATAAATGAAATTTAAATTAAATAAATCAAATAAGAGATTTCTATTTTCAAAATGGATCTGATACTTGATAATGTTTATGCAAATTTGCAAATACATTATTCAGTTTTATAAACTGCACGTCAATTTTTATTTTGTTTGACTTAAAACGCAATCATAAACTGAAGTTTGAAATAACATCATAAATTATATCGTCAATTTAATAATAATGCTAACAAGCATCTTAATATACGCATAGTAAAAGAGATACAAATATAAAATGACAGGAAGATAAAAATACAGAATTAAAATGCATTAGCATGAAGACATCACGATTACACGTGTAATGAATGCATAAATGTTGAGAAAATAAAAGAGACATGAAAATGATTGTAGACATGGTAAAGATTAAAAAATGTGAAGCAATGAAGTGAAAAACAGTCGTTTGAAAAAGTAAATAGGTAAAGGAGGACTAATGTCATTAGGTAATGAGTTAAAGTATTTTACTTTGACATAGAAAAAAGCAGCCATACATTTGATATTTAAATGTATGAAGGGATAGGACAATAAAGAATGAAAATGTACAATTGACGATGAGGCAGAATGAAATTCTTAATTGCAGTGATTAAGGTGTTTATGTAGGTAGGATGGGGTTTTGAAGAAACCCTAATTTTAAATACTAATAACACAGATTTACAATGAACAAAATTCCCGTCGTCATAATTAATTTTAACGGTCATTGATCGCTACACTGAAAAAAAATTTACTAAATCTTAATACATACCATATTTTTTTAAATAGTATTAAATAAACATGTACTTACAGTAAATAAATATTTTCTCAAT